TCCTGGGCATGCTGAGGATCAAGTTATCCAGCATTTCCTGGGGTAACCTATCCCATTCTTCAATAGCGGCTTCCCTGAGCTCTGGAACTGTCTGGGGACGTGGCTCACGGTTCCATACTGCTCGTTTAAGAGCATCCCACGCGTGCTCTATTGGGTTTAAGTCGGGCGAGCCGGCAGGCCAGTCTAATCGTGTGATATCGTATTCTTGAAGAGCAGCATTGACTCGTTGAGCTCGATGTGCGGGCGCATTATCATCGACCAGTACAAATTGGTGCCCATGGTTTACTCGGAATGGTCTGACGATATCATCAATAGCAACTGCTTTGTACATGTCTGCTGTCATGAAGCCCCGATACGGGATCAAAGGCGTTCTAGCTCCAATCATAATGCCACCCCAAAAGGACACCGATTTTCCGCCTTGCTGAACTGTTCCAGTGGCAGTTCTTTGTCTTTCACGGTCGCCTGGTCTTCTCCAGACACGGACACGTCGGTTATCTGGATGAGTGCTGATTCGGGATTCGTCAACGAAGAAACAGTTTTGCCAAATGTTTTCGTCCTCACCTTCTTCATTTTGCCGAAGTCTAGCCCACTGCAATCTTCGTTGTTGACGTTGCCGGGAATTGAGCGGAGCTCGCCAAGACCTCCGTGCTCGTAATCCAGCCTGGTGCAAGCAATTGCGAACGGTCTGCGTGCTAACTTCAAGCCCAGAGGCGGCCCTGACTTCTGCTTTTATTTTAGTGGCGTTGATTGTTGAATCACGGGCTGCCAGCAATCTAATATAGCGCTTTTGGGCAGCTGTCAAAACAGTTAGGCGACCGCTGCAGGGTCGGTCAGCTAAATTCCCCATTCCGTGATACCTCTGCAACGTAGCCACGACACAGGATTGGGATATAGCAAGTCTGCGTGCTATTACTCTCGTGGTGTATCCTTCTTCCCTCAAAATTACTATTCTAGCTCGTAAAACCTCTGATAATCCTCTTGGCATTTTTTCAATCACAACTTTCCGCGAAAAATATCTTGAATCGCTTATAATTGACTAAATCAGATTTCTGAATGAGCGTAAGCTAGGACTGAAAGCCTTTTTATATGAAAAAACAATTGAACGGGGTCATTGTTTTATGTTCTAATTAATTTTTAAATAAAGAATCTAAAAAGAAGAAAAAATCATAATATAATCTACAGTAACAAAAAAGATTTCAGTTTTTCGAAGTGATCGCAAACTTTTTTTGATGTGTGTATGTTTTGTCGATCGACACTGGACTTTAAATTAGGCGTAAATGCCCAAAAATGTGTTGTATTTAATCCTTAATATTTATCGATTGCTAAAATCGAGCAAATAGCTGACAGACTCAATAACAATCTACAAAAATCGAGCAAATTTGTAGGCGCCTATTGGTCGTCAAAGCACACCTCACACACGTCCAGCACGTCGAGCGACAATAACTATCAAAAATGTCAAAAATCGAGCAAATAAATATGTAAGCACCTTTCAACTTATGCGCGAGTTTAATATATAGGCCTAAAATTGTTACCAACTAATACGATGGTAAAAATATTGTAAAATTGTTATTGTTTTAATTTTTTGTCATTAGGTTGGCCCCCACTATACCCGTATACCCGAAATCTACTCTGTAGTGATGTTCTAAATAAAAGTCTGAACCAACCCTCATCGTCACTGTTTGTGAGACCATGACAGTTAGCAATAAGTAATTGCAAGACTAAATGTGCAATATTCCCACAAGACTAAGAACAAGTGTGCTCACGCGAGACCAAGACATTAGACCAAAACTCGGGTTAGTCTCGTCTTGGTCTTGCATTGAATCAGGATTACCGAATCAATCATTTTAATTTATTATGATGATAACGATGTGTTTTTATTGCTACATGTAAATGTAAACATTAGTATACGTGTTACCCATGGCGTTACTTCATGACGACGTTGCATACCAATAGTG